GGGTCTGATGACTTGGGCTGCTTTGGTCAACCTCCCTAGTTACAAGGGTTTTGATTTCATGTAGGTGAGCTCTTTTATCCCTTAAATGACCAGGAAGACAAATCAAAGACTCGAGCCTTGATCTCCCGAACAATCAAATATTGAGGCCAGTTTCAATACTTTTTAAAGGAAAAGATCTAGCCTAGCCATGGTAGGAGATACTAGGAGATATTTCTCCTTTTACAGGCCACATGAATATAATAAAAATGATGATACTACCTAAATTGATTCATAGATTTAGTACTATACTTATCAAGCTACCAAGGAAATATTTTATATAGCTAGAAAAATAATAGCAAAATTTATTTGGAGGAACAAAACGTCTACAGTGTCAAGGGAAATAAAACATTAGGAATGTATTGGGAATAGGACTTCCAGATCTCAAAGTACATGATAAAGTAACAATCATCAAAAACTACTGGGTACTGATTAAAACCTAGAAAAGTAGATCAATGAAACAGATTAGAGAAATAGGGAAGAATCATAAACAACTTAACTAAATAATTCACTATTTTATAAGCCCAAGAAAATAAAAACTCCCCATTTGATAAGAAAATCAGGGAAAAGTAGAAAGTAGTTTGAAAGAAACAAGGGTTAGACAAGCACAATTTACACCATATACAATAACAGGCTCAAAATGGGTCCCCAATCCTAATATTAAAAATAATTAAATGAAAACTAGATCAGGTACTTTTTATAACTATGGCTAGGGGGGTAATATCTCTCTCCCCTCAAAAGGGAGATAATCACAAAATATAAAATAATTTATACTAAATGCAATAAAAACTTTTGCACTAAAAAAATGCAACAAGGAAACTCTGATATCCAAGTTATATAAGGAACTAATATGTACATATAACATATAACATATAACTTATTCATATACATAACAGTTCTCAAAAGAAGAATTGTAAACTCTTAACATTCACATGAAAATTTCTCCAGATCACTCATAATAAAAGAAATTAAAATCAAAATAATTCCGGGGTTTCACCTCATTTCTAGTAAATTGGCAAAAATGACAAAAGATAGTAATAGCGTTGGAGGGTTGTGGTAAGATAGGTATATTGATCCACTGCTGGTGGAGCTGTCAATTGGTCCAACAACTGAAGGAAGCCATTTGGAATTATGTTAAGAAAGTGACCAAAATGTCCATAATATAAGAGAGATGCCACTGCTACACATATACCCCAAAGAGGTTAAAGACAGAAAGGAAGGTCCTACTATATTTATAATATTTATAGCACTTCCCCCCTTTAAAAAATTCAATTTTGTTTTCAATTCTGAACTTTCTCTCATCCCCTCCCCAAACTACTGAGAAAGCAAGAAAAAAAGAAACTCATTACAATTATATACAGTGAAACAAAACAAATGACCACATTAGCAATGTCCAAAAAAGAAAAAGAAAATATGCTTCAATATGTACTCTAAGTTTATCAGCTCTTAAATGTTTAGCATGTTTCATCATGAGCTCTTTGGAACTGCGGTTGGCCATTTTGTTAAAAGTTCCTTAGTCTTTCCAAATTTATTATTTTAACAATATTGCTCTTATTGTATAAATTGGTTTCCTGGTTCTGATCACTTCACTTTATATAAGTTCACACAAGAATTCTCAGGTTTTTCTAAAACCATCCCTTTCATCATTCCTTAACAGTATTACATCACATTCATACACCACACTTTGTTCACTCATTCCCCAATTGGTGGGCATCCATCCCCTCAGCTTCCAATTCTTTGCCATCACAAAAAGAAAAAAAGAAAAGAAAAATAAGTATTTTTGAACATAGGAATCCTTTTCCTTTTTCTTTGATCTCTTTGGGGTATAGACCTAGTAGCAGTATTACTGAGTCAAAGAGGACAGTTTAATAGCCATTGGGCATAATTCCAAATTGTTTTCCAGAACGGTTGAACCAAATAGTTCACAGATCCACAAAACTACATTAGTATACCTGTTTCCCCACACCCACTCCAGAATTTGTCATTTTCCTTTATTGTCATCTTAGCCAATCTAATAGATATAAGGTGGTACCTTAGAGTTATTTTAACTTTCATTTCTTTAATTATTTATGATTTAGAACATTTTTTAATGTGGCTATTGATAATTTGGATTTCTTTCTTTGAAAACTGCATATTCTCATTCTTTGACCATTTATTAATTGTGGAATAGCTTTTATTCTTATAAATGTGTCTCAGTTCCCCATATATCTTAGATACATACCTTTATCACAGAAACTTGCTGCAAAGATTTTCCCCTAGTTTCCTGCTTTTCTTTTAATTTTAGCTATACTGGTTTTATTTGTGCAAGTTTTTATATTTTATGTAATTAAAATTATCCATTTAACTTCCTGTGAACCTCTCTGTCTCTTGTTTGGACATGAACTCTTCCCCTAGCCATAAATCTGACAGGTAAGTTCTTCCATGATCTTCTAATTTGCTTATATCACCTTTTATGTCTAAATTATGCTGGTATCCACTGTAAGATATTGGTTTATACTAGTTTCTGCCAGACTACTTTCCATTTTTCCAAATAGTTTTTGTAGAATAGTGAGTTCTTGCTTCAATTACTGTGATCAAACTGTGATCAAAGCTGTTATCAAACAAGAGGTTACTGTATATTTACTGTGTATCTAAAAGGTCACTACAATGACTGCAGTCATGAAATTAAAAGATGCTTGCTCTTTGGAAGGAAAGCTATAGCAAATCTGGTCAGCACACTAAAAAGCAGAGATATCACCTCGCTGATAAAGTGAAGTGCCCCAGAGAACCAGTGCTAAAAGCACAGAAAACATCCCTATCAAACTTGCAGATGGTGCACAAGGAGGGTTAACTCACATGTTTCCTCCTATATAAAATAAGGGTAAAGGAGTCTCTGAGATCCCTTCCAACTCTGTATATATATGGTATGCCAGGGTCAGACTCCAAAGGAGATCTTAATAGGCTACAAAGCTGAGCCAAATCTAATGAAATAAAATGTAATAGAAATAAACATAAAATCTTGGGTTTAGGAAACCAACTTCACAAGTTCAAGATGAGGGTGTTATAGCTAGATAGCAGTTTGATAGAAAAAAGATCTAGGTATTTTAGCAGACTATAAGTTCACTAGAAATCAGCAGTATGATATGGCTTCCAAAAAATATATGCATAAAGAAAGGCTTAACTTTCAGAATAGGAGGGAAAGTACACAAAATCTGCTCAGTCCTGGTGTACTTCACCCTCAATAGACCATATCTGGAGTACTCTTCTGAGTATTTTTCTGGCAAGTTCTGAGTAACATAGTTTAGGATGATGGATAAGCAGGTGAGCATCAAGAGGAGGGTAACTAGGATGGTAAAGAACCTCAAGATCATGCCATACGAAGATCAGCTGAAGAAATTGGAGTTTTTTGTTTTTTTTTTCTTTTTATCTTGAAGGAGAAAACTTGAAGGGGACACGACAGCTACCTTCAAGTATTTGAAAGGCTGTCATTGGAAGAAGGATTAGATTTGTTCTGTTGGACCCAGAAGGCAGGACCAGGAAGGATGGATGGAAGTTACACAGAAGCAGATTTTAGCCTGATATAAGGAAAAAACTTCTTAATGATTTGTGGTTTTGAATGAACTGCCTTGAGAGTAAGTTTTCCCTCACTAGAGGAATGGCTGGAATACCATTAATCAGGTTTATTGTAGGGGAAGCGGGGTTCCTTCAGGTATGAGTAGGATTTGATGGCATCTGGTGTCCCTTCCAACTTCTTAGATCGTATTTATAAATTCATACTGAAGTTTATGATCCTATAAGATTCTTCTAACCTTTTCATTAGTTTCTCAATTAAGGTGTATAGAATGCTTAAGTTGTCATTTGAAAATAATATTTCAGCATGAGTTTAATTTTCCTTAGAAGTCCGAATCAATTTCTTGTCGTTGTATAAGAGAGCAATGCTTTCATTGTTTTAGGTGCATCACCTCTCTTCTTCTTTCCCACTGGAGGGACTATACAACAGTGACATCATAGGATCAAAAATTTAGAAACGGAATGTGACTTAAAGGTCATCTAGTTTAATTCCCTTATTTGAGGGAAGAGAAAATTGGGTTTAGAGAGGTGAAGTGACTTGCCCAGGGTCACAGTGGCCGAGCTGGGATTTGAATCCAGCTTCTCTGCTCCCAATCTAATTCTTTCTCCTAAACAATGCTTATAAAATGTAATAACAACGATTTAGCCTTCTGATATCAGAAAGTGACATCTTGATTAAGTAGCCGATTTCAGTTAAATTCAACATATTCCTTTAAAAATATGTCCATTATTATTCATTTCTCCAGATTTTTGGGAAGTATTACTTTCATTCATGTTCTTGTTCGGCCTCTTTTCCTTAGTGATATTCAAAGTGAAATTCAAAATGATGAAATTTAAAGTCAGCTGTGAGGATTTTAGTAGGCTTAAATCAAATAATGGCTTTGCCTTGAAAAAACATTTTAGGGTTTCCCAAGGGGCCCTGAGAGTAAATGGCTTTGTAGAATTTTAGTTTGATCTTGTTCAGTATTGGAGGAAAAATTTTTGATTCAATACAAAAGGATATGGAACAAAAAGGGCTTTTGATTAGATGCATCCTATTATTGAAATTTTCACAAAAAAATGATGCACCAAAATTTTATCTCATTAGCTACCAAACTATCTAGTGATGTATACTATATTATTTCTATGACCAACTCTATTCTGTGGCAAAAGACACACCTTTTACACACATCTTTTCTCCCAACTATAATTTCCTACCCTTGGCTATTAAAAATAACTTCTAGAACTTTTGGAAGTTCTCTTTTGGCAATGGGTAAAACAGAGGGAACACAAAACTACAATGAAGTAGTCCTTCTGAAGGTGAGAGATTCAAGATTTATCTAAGTCAGAGCATGTGTGGAAGTGGGCATATTTGGATGGGAGGAGAAATTCAACTAATTACTCGTATCACATGCACCCAAGGAAAAAATGTTTACCTGGTGGTGCCACAGTTAACCTTTTTTCCTTGTTGAGCCGGTACCCTTGGATGATTTCACTCAGGGAAGGGGGGCCCCTCAGAAGAAAGGATTCTGTGGAGGTGGGATCAGGGGGGACTCTTAATAAATGCTGTTGGTAGAAAGCCCCTGAAGTCCTGGGATGGTTCTGATCACAAAGGGAAGGTGAAAATTGTCTTGCAGGAGATCCAAGAAAAATACATATAGAAAACAAAAGAGTTTTACTTTAATTACCTTTCAATACCTTATGAGTGACAACATCATTTTCATTGTGATTTAATTTGTTGAACATGAAAAACAAGTAGTTTTGTTAACTTCTTTTGTTTCTAGTGCTAGACACAACCATGTTTTATAAACTCTTCTGGGTCAAAGAAGAGATTTATTTTAAGGTAGTCAGGTTGGGTCTCCAAAGATACTCCTAGCATTTGATGGTGTATTGATGACCCCTAAAATGAATTTTTTTTACCGTGACTGAAAATATACATTCAAGACTTTCTGGCTGAGGGTGACAAATTCCAGTCACTAAGTAATGCACAATTAAATTTTTTTGATGAAAAATTCACCATGAGAATTAAAATGTACTGCTTGAATACTGAAAGTATCTATTCCATTTTAACCAGACACAGACATTCTCTTTTAGCCAGCCATCATTTTTAGCAATACGAACAAAAGTTTTCAAAAAGAACAAGTTCATATGCTTGTCTCAAAGAAAAGAAAACAGCCAAGTAGCTCAGTTATTGTACATTTTGCTCTTAGGGTTTCAACACATCTAGAACCCCATATTTCTCTCCTCTTTAACTCTTTTTGGGGAAGGAAAGTTACATTCATGCAAACAGGAAGTAACCAAAAAAACTGACAAGACAGGTAAAAATTGTTATGATTAGCCCAAGGAGAAATGTAGAAGCATAATAATCAGGAATTTTCTTTTTACTTCAACTACCCAACATCCACCCACCTTCTCACTTCCCCTCCCTTTCCTCCCCTAACAAGAAAATATTGCTGCTTTGAATAGATTTAACTTAAATCTGGCCACTGCACTGTACTGTAAAGATTACTGCATGCATACCTTTTCCTCTGAGTGCCACTGCTGACCAGTATGTTTGGTGGCTGTGAGCCCTGACTATGCAGGAAGAAAGTGTCAATGGTGGGCACGGTGGCTGATGCCTCCCCACTTACTTTAGGGCTGCCGAGCTTGTTCTTTCCAAGCTTGCCTTTGCTTCGTCGGGACTGCTCATGGTCAAACTCTAAATCCTCCAGTCGCTGAGTCAAGGCGAGTTTTTGCTGGATAGCCATCCTTAAGAGTGAATTTAGTGTCTTCTTCTCATCCTCTGCAGCTGCTAACTGTCTTTGCATCTCATCCAACTGGGTAACATATTCATCACATCTGAAGTCAAAAGAGAAATGTGTTCATGACAAAAGTTTGGTAAAAGATGATAATGGTCAGTATATTTGGACCTTACTTGATAAATCTAGGATCCTAAGAGCCTGAATATACATGTTTTTAACCACAGAGACACTGCTGCATGCTTTTTTTCTCCTTTTTGACATCCAAGCTAGACGTATGCATTTATTTTTCTGATACTACATATTCTACTTATAAATTAATCTTGATCATGTTGTCTTGTAGGCTTGAACTGATTTATTTCACCTAGACAGCAATCATGGCATGGATAATTCACTGAAATGGACTTACTAACTTGAAATGGAGAAAAGACATATTAGTTTTGATGCCCAGTTAATCTTTTTGCTTGTACTATAGAAAATACCTATGGGTACATTCATGTAATCCAGTGCCAAGGTTAGATTTTGTCATGCAAGATGCCTTACTGCTAAGTTCTAGCTTATTTTTGATTTCCTTTCCCTGGGCACTAATGGATGTATCTGACATGTAAAGGTTGTGTTTTTGTCTTGTCAAATCAAGATGCTTCCAAAAAGGAGAAACACAATGGGAAGCAATATTGTATGGTACAAAAAGTACTGGTTCCTGAGTCAGAGGATATGAGTTCAAATTTCATATTTGTTCCTTATTACTTGTGTGATCTCGGGCAAGTCACTTACCCTCCCTGGGCCTCAGTTTTCTTATCGGTAAAATGAGAGGATTGTCTTAGATGGCGTTGTGCCATCTAGGAATTGTGCTATGTATGTTTGGTTTTTTTTTCTCATGAGATAAAAATTCACATCATTTATGGTCACCTACACTACAAAATAAATAATATAGATATGGTTTCTGTCTGAGTTTTGAAAGGAATTCAATTCAATAGACATTTATTAAACACATACTTACGCAAGATACTGAATTAGATGCTAGACACACAAGACAAAAATGAAAGAGTCCCTATTCACAAGGAGTTTGCGTTCTGCTGGGGAAATATATCATGTAAGCAGAAATAGGCAGCTAGGTGGTATAGTGGACAGAGTGCTGGGCCTACTGTCAGGAGGTCAGAGAAACCTGAGTTCAAATCTGACCTTAGACACTTACTAGCTGGTTGATCCTGGGCAAATTAATTAACCTCTGTTTGACCAGTTTCCCCATCTATAAAATGAGGATAATAATAGCACCATATCTCAAAGCTGCTGTGATGATCAAATTAGATCACTGTAAAGCACTTAGCACAGTGCCTGGCACATAGTAAATAAAAGATGTAAATATTAGTTATTATTATTGCTACTATTATTGTTACAAGTAAATACAAAAAAAAATTCCAGGAGAGAGAAAGCATTAATAACTGAGAGACCTTGCTTGGGGGGTGGGGGAGGACAAGTAGAAAGGGACAGAGAGAATTTGGAACTTAAAATTTTTAAAAACAAATGTTAAAAATTATTTTTACATGTAATTAGGAAAAAATAAAAATAATATTAAAATTTTAAAAATATGTATTGAATTGAATTGAAGATATACAATATATACAAAGTAGATACAAAGTAATTTTGAGTGTTGCTAACACTTGACGGATCAAGAAAGGGCTCATGCCAGAGGGGGTTGAGTTAAGCCTGGAATGGTGATAGGAATTCTAAAAAGGCAAATATGATCAAAGAAACCACTGAACAAGAAGAGGACTAGACATTTCTCTCATCCTCATGACCTCCAAAACAGAAATTATGGATTATGGATAAAGCAACTTCTGCTGTCTCTATGGTCTAAGACATTGAGAATTCAAAGGAAGGTTAAAAAAAAAAAAAAAACCCATGATCTGACACTAAGCTCACTCATCACCTCTCCCTGATGCAAGGCCGCAGTAGCAGACCTAAGGACCAAGGCTTGCAACAAAACTCAACCCCACATCCTGGTCCCCACTCGCTGTTTCTGTTGCCATGAAAACCCTGGCTCCAGGCTGCAAAAATTTGCTTCACAACAGTCAGTACCATGCTCCCCTCAGGAACAAAAGTGTGCTGGGTGCTAACAGCACTATGGCAGACAACTCCACAACACCAACACTGCAGAGCTCTGACCTTCTGGTGCTGGAGAGGATAACCCCACAGCATCAGCATGGCAGCTCTCTGAACTGCCAATGCTGGCCCAGAGAACTGAGAAACAGAGGGCCAGGACATTGTGGGGGGTTCGGAGAGGCACTGTGCAACATTCCACTAAGCCTGAGGGAAAGAGCTCAACCTCCAGCTGGGGCCAATCTGTCCTCAAAAGTCACTTGAAGCAGAGACGTAAGCTTGTGAATTGTGAATTGCCCAGCGTGGGAGAAGGCTTTGAGAATCAGTCCCAAAGGAAATCACCGTCAAAGAAGACAGAATCAGAAAATGTGCAACGGGAAAATGAGGAGGAAAAAAAATTCCAAAATTACCAAAGAGTTCAGGGAGAAAAAACCCATAAGACCTTGAAGATAAACAAATAAAGAAAAAAAATTTAAAAACAGAAGGAAATATGACCCCCAGATTTAGTAAACAAAATTCAAGCATCCATGTATAAATACTGCAAAATACTTGATAATATTGATCCAATATTTGGTAAGACAGAGGATCACTTCATCTTAGAATTTGTAACAGATATGGGGAGTTAAGTTAGGCATAATCTGCCAGGCTACATATGGGCATAACTATTTCAGAGAAAGAATAATTAGGATTCCATGATTAAAATTCTAAAAGGGAAGTCATCCAGAGGGATTTATTTACTCTTCTGAGTTTCTTTTGTTTGGGGTGTTCCGGTTTTCTTTCTAAAAGAAAAAAAGTTTTAAACACCTATTTATTATTGAAGTTCTTTTGAGGAATTTTAGGAGAACTTGGAACCACAACACATTGCTCCTGAGGGGTTTAAATGAGAATTATAAAAGCAGAATATATGTCCTGCACAGTAAAAAGAATGAACAAAAGAGACAAATCAGAATCTCACCAAAGAAACAAAAGTGGAAATGCAAATATACAGAAGTAAAGGACAATCAAGAAGAGAAGTAAAAAATAATAACATTAAAAGAAAATATGCTCACTATACAAGCAAGACAGTGATCTCATAGATAGGATAATGAGCAACAACTATCATAAGTTTCCCAGAAGAACATTACAGGATAAAAATCATTAACAACTTATTGCAGAAAATAACAGAAGAGCACTCACTGCCCAGAACTTCTGAACATAGAAAATGAAATACAAATTGAGACTTCATAAATTAACTCCAGAAGAAAGTGGTTTTAAATTTAACAACAGTGGTTAAATTTAACAATTCAAAAATAACAAGTTCTGTTAAGTGATCAGGAGAAAAGATCTTGAAATACAAAGAAAAGGAAATTTGAATAATGCAAGACAATTCTATACTTACCAGAAAACATAGGAAGGAATGGAATAATGGGTTCCAAAAAGCAATGGAGCTCAGGATGCAGCCCAGGGTGACCTACCCTGCAAATCTGAGCTTAATCATAAATGAGAAAAGATGGACAAATAATAAAGAGGTGATTGAAGCATGTTTAGAAAGAAAATAAGAACTGAAGATATCATTCACTCCTTGAACACTCCAAACAAGAGAAATACAGAAAAGTAAATAAACGCAGTAAATAAATTTTTCTGGTTAACTTCCCTTTTAGAATTTTAGTCCATGGAATTCTAACTATCCTCTCTATGAAACAGTAAGTTATGCCTATATCTAGTGTTTATGGAAGATTATGCCCAAATTAACTCCCCATGTCTATTACAAATTCTAAGATGGACTGGTCACTATCATTTATATTTTAGCAACCAGTCCCTCCTTATCGGTGAGAATCAAAGCCAGATTATCAGTTCCCCTCACTACTTACTCCTCCTTTTGAAAGAGGAGATAAAACTGTGCCTTTCTGGTGATTATATGATGGTATAATTGGAAAATTCTATGGGGTAAGCAAAGATGCTAAGTGAAAATTTAATAGCTTCAGAAAATTTGAAGGCTACAAAAATCAATCCTCAAAAGCCAACACCATTTCTATTATAATAATAACAAAACACAGGAAGTAATAATAGAAAGGGAAATTCTATTCCAAATAACTCAAATGCATAAAATAAGAACTTAAATAACTGGAAGAATATTCAGTGTTCATGGTTTGGTCATGCCCATACAATAAAGATAATACTACCAAAATGAATTTATACTTTTAATGCTATTTCAATCAAATTACCAAGGAGATACTTCATAATAACTAGCATATTAAGGGAAATGATGAAAAGAAGTATGGGTGAAGGGGAAATAATACTTTCAGAGCTCAAAATATATTATAAAACAGCAGTCACAAAAACTATCTGGCATTGGTTAAAGAATAAAGAGATAAATCAGTGGAACAGACTAGATAAGAGAGAATCAGAAAGAAAAGAATTCAATAATCTAGTGTTTGATAAAGTGGAAAATATAAATTAACCAGGAAAAAAACTCCTTATTTGATAAAAACTGGAAAGCAGTTCGTCAGGAATTAGGCATAGCCCAACCTCTTACATCATATTCCACAACATATTCTAAATGGATATTCAATCTTCATATTAAAGATCTTAATACAAAAATTTTTTTAGAAGAGAAACATCACATTTAGGTTAGAAAGAGATCAGTCATCTATGGATAGGAAATGTATTATTTAAAAAAATTTTATTAATTAACTTACTTTGGTTTTCAACATTCACTTCCATGAGATTTTGAGTTCCAAATTTTCTCCCCATCTCTCCCCTCCCCCCACCCCAAGATGGCATGCATTCTGAATACCCCTTGCCCCAATCTGCCCCCTTCTCTTATTCCCTTCCCCTTCTATTTTCCTGTAGGGCAAGATAGATTTCTATACCACAATGCCTGTATATCTTATTTTCCAGTTGCATGTAAAAACAATTTTTAACATTTTTTCTTTTTAAAAAATTATTATTATTTTCTTTTAGTTTTCAACATTCACTTCCACAAGATTTTGAGTTCTAAATTTTCTCCCCATCTCACCC